GCAGTAGAATTCAGTGATTCTTCTACATACCTAAGAGAATTTTCTTAAGACAATAACTGGGCTGTGAGAGATTGACTATGTGCTTACATTCTAGGGGAAGCACATGGTATGGAACATAGCAGCAGAATAACATGAAGATAAACTAATAAATTGGAAACATACATCTATGAAGAATGTATAATATTGTAGCAGTGATAGTAATTTTGAGAATTAACAGAGACCCAAAAAGTTTAGTGACTTGCTCTGCATTTCACTGCTCCTATGATTAAGACTTACCTTTCCATCCCAGTGTGGGTGGCCATTCAACAAATCCATCTTGCAATTGCTTTAATAGAGTCTGGATGGATTTTGATGGCTGGAAGGAAGCAGTGGCATCAAAGAGAATAAGACTAAAAACAACCAAACCCTCATTTCTCAAGCTGGAGATCTGGAGTACTAGAAATGTTCAATGACTACACAAGGCCATGACTGCAGACTCCTAATGTCCTTCCCACAGGAGACATTACAACAAACAAAACAGTAACCGTAAAATTAAACAGTTTTCCTTTCATGAGGCATCATATTATTTTATAGGTTGAAAACAATTTCTATGAGAAAAATTATTCTAGATTCTTTTAGTATATAAATTAATATACTTCTATGCTCTTCTATTCTGTGGAAGGTAGAATGTTTTGAGAGGCTGGAAGTTGATAGGAAACCTCATTTTTTTTCTGATGCTGTGGGGTCTACTTGTTCAAAATAAGGAACAAGTCTGAGTTACTGTGGCTTGACAGCCAAGGAAGCCCGGCAGGCAAAGTGTTGATAAACCTGGCTCTGGTCCTCTAGAAGCGGCAGGAGACTTGGTGGTTCTTGCTCTCCCTGAACCCTGCCCTGCTTTTTGCTCAAGCCACCATGCAGAGTGGACAAAAGTTGGTTGCCAAGGAAGGAAGAGTAGGGGAGAATGAATGGTCTCGCTTGGTGAACACCTTTCCTCATCCTCCCAGTGGCTCTGAGAACTCAGGCAGCCGCTCCAGGCTGAGCAGGTTTTTGTTTTGCTCACCATGCTGATGGCTGCTGAGATTTGCCTTCAGCATAGCAGGGAATCAGAACAATCCAGCTATGGATCTGTGATACTGGCTGTTTCTGATGCTTCCTAATGTATTAATGTGCGATACTCCTCACTGCTTTCTATCACAGGCTGTCAGAATGGATGGTTGGTTCATGCGAGGATGTGTTCCTAGCCAAAAAACCCATGTGATGGGGGTGGGAATGAGGAGAAGGGCAGAAGGAAGGTGAACAAAGGTGTAGGTAGGTAAATGTGCCCTGTAGTTACGCTACGAACATATTTTCTACATTCCTTCCCTTCCTCAAAGGGGGAAAAATTACATTTTGGAGTCAATTGGCACATCTTTTCCCTGAAATTTTTACCCTATGTGGCATTCAACCTTTAATTTCATCTGTCATCTCCCTGTTTTTCAATCCTTTTCTCCTCTCTTCTCCTCTCCTCTCCTCTCTCCTCTTCTCTCCTCTTATCTCTTCTCCCCTCCCTTGCCCTCACCCTGCCTCCTCTCCATTCGCCTCCTTTTCCTTGCCCTATCTCTGCCTCTGTCTCTCTCTCTCTCTCTTTATCTCTCTCTTTATCCCTCTCAGGTCACCTAGGGATAGAACTCAAGATTTTGTATTTGTAATTTTTAGGCAATCATTCTTCTACCTGAGCCTTTTACTTTGCTTCTATCTCCCTTCTCAGATAAGGTCTCATGCTTTTGCTTGGCTCTTGATCTTCCTCTCAAGTAGCTGGGATTATAGGGTTGTACCACTAGGCCTCTGCCCCTCTGCTGAAATTAGGGCTTGGGGAAAGAAAGAGGAAAAAGCAGTGAGAGAAAGCCAGTGGAGGGGGTGGGGACTGGAGGTAGAGGGGCTAAGAAGGAAGACCAAACATAAGCACTTTGGACTCTTTCCAGTGGTAATAAACTTTCAGGCAGCAAGAACTTCCCAACACCAGGAAATGTGAAATCAAACAAGTACCAGTTCTATCAGGGTAGAGAGCTACTGGGCACTAGAAAGGTTTGGGCAAGATTGTATTTGTACCTGATTTCCCCCTCTCCTTTCAATAGTTCCTAAAAACAAATCTCCTCCTGCTGCCTTAGAAATGGACTAGGACTTTTCCAAGACAATAGCACCCACTAGGTTTCTTCAATATGTCAGTCAGCTAACTTCCCAGGCACCCAATGACCATTTCCATGCTTATGGTACACCACTATGACTCAAGATCTAGACAATTCCATTATCTCCAGGGTTCACCAGAGTAATGAACTAGCCAAAGTTCAGTCTAGAAAGGCTTTTCACTGCCTTATGAACATTCCATATGATGGCCTTTTCTTTCAGCCCTTTAATTTTTGTGGTGCTATTTGTCTTCCTGATTGTAACACATCTTCCTGCCTCCTGCTAAGTAATTTCTGGAAGATTCATTCCGTTTTTGGCTACCCCCATTGCTTCGGGTGATAGAGAAAATGGCGAGTTTGAATCGTTTACTAGATCCATAGCACATGACAGCTAACCCATTCTTCCTCAACCCACCCCAACCACCCTTGGCTGAGACAAACTGACTTCTTTGGTTTGAGTAAAGAAAAGCATTTTGGGATCCAGAAATGATTGCTGCTTCCAGATATTCTACTGACGTGGTATACAACTTTGTAGATGGACTTATTCTCTCTGAGCTTCCATTTTCCTATCTATAAAATAGGGCAATACATTTCTTCTCATTGTATGAGGGTACCACAGTTTTATGAATAGACTGCACCTGGCTTAGAGCTTAGCATCTGGTTGGAGCTCCTCTTGAGAGATTAGTCTTAGAAAAAAAAGCTATGAATAACTTTTTCCTGTTATGGAGGATACAAATAGAAAATACAGCTCTATTTCCCATTGTAATCCTGCCATTATCTGCCTCTTCCTTGGGGAGCAGTAACAGAGGGGAAGAGATGACAAGACAAAGCAAATGACTAACTTTAGACATAGATAAAATAGTAGGAAGGTGTATCCATTCCCTATTTTTATCCTATTATTATTTCTATTATTTCATAACAAATTACTTAGAAGCTTATACAATAATTATTATTATGTAACATCAGTGCCTTGAGACTCTGAGTGTGAGTTAACTAAGTCTCTATTTGCAGTCCTACTGGGCTGAAATCAAGGTATCACCTGGGGCCATGTTCTCATCCGAGGTTTCTCTTTCAAGCTCTTCAGTTGTTGCCAATATTCAGTTCCTTGAGGCTCTCAGTGGCTAGAGGCTTTCTACCATTTCCTACCACAAGGTCTTCTCCACAATATCACATGCTTCTTTCAGACCAATAGGAGAGAGTCTCTATTGCTCCTTGTCCCTTAAGGGATCTATTCATGATTAGGCTAGATCCAACTCAAGCTAATGCTTTCCTTCTTTAGGAAACTTAAATCCTCATTGCAAGGTAATGTATACTTGGCCTATACTTAAATTTATACAGGATATATATGCACTTTGAGGGTGCATAAATCTGGAGGCGATCCTAGAATTACGCTTATCACAGAGGAGCCCCTAAATGTATCCAAACAGACATAGTAAAGACTTTCTTGATTCTCTTTGTTTCATTTTTTATGTGAATAAAGATTACTGAGGGTACCAAGCTTGCCACATTGTATGGGCTGGCCATGATGAAATCATTAAAAATGTAGGAAAAAGTCAACGAACCTGAAAGTGTGGGACAGCCTAGCAACTTCAGTGATAGTTATGAATGAATGCATTCAGCTTTGGCTGAACTGTTACTTGGGAATAGGAATGGACTTTTGAAAAGAAGGAACATGGCATAATTTCCTTGAAAGAGTTCTATTAGTGCTGTCTACCTTCAGTGGACACATCATATTAATTAGTGTTCTGTGACCAAAGGACATAATTGAAAAAAGACATGAAAGGGGTTTCCTTTTCCATCTCAGAGACAGACACCACTGTGGCAAGTAATGAGTTCAATGTTCACCTGCTAATTCATGGCCAAAATCCATTATAGCATCTCAATGGAGAGAGTGAGTCTGAAGGGCAGAGCAAACTGCTGTAGTTCTCATGAGTACTGGCTCCCTATTGTTCTGGAGTTCCTCTGGGAAACCATTTTCCAATCAGAATTACCTGGTTCCAGCAGACTTCCATCCTAGGCGCCTCATGTAATGAAGACACTAATGAAACAAACATTGTGTTTGAAGCAGTTAACAGAACTTTATGTTCTTCAGTTTTCCTCCCTTAATATTTATCATCCCTGTCATTGTTTTCTTTAATGCTGTGTTCATCCTGGGCAGTGAGAAATACTTTAAAAATGGTGAGCAGGGGCTGAGAAGGTGGCTCAGTGGTAGAGCGCTTGCCTTGCATGCATGAGGCCCTGGGTTCAATTCCTCAGCACCACATAAGCAAAAAGAAAAAAGCCGGAACTGGCGCTGTGGCTCAAAGTGGTAGAGTGCTAGCCTTGAGCTGAAGAGCTGAGGGACAGCGCCCAGGCCCAGAGTTCAGGCCCCATGACCGGACCCAAAAAAAAAAAATGGTGAGCAGTGGAGAAGGGGAGGGGGGAGGGCAAGATCAGAAAACCTTGTAGCTAGGGGGTCACAAGAGACAGGAAGCAATGTAAAGTATGAACCAAAGCTCAGGTGGCCAGAAGGCCAGAGCTAAGACAACCTTTCAGTTCATCGCTAAAACTTTCCTCTGCATTCTTAGAAGACAGCAATAGTCTAGATAGGAACTGTTGGAGTTGATGAACCACTGTGAAGAGTGAAGAGTTGAGACAGAGTTAGCTGGTCACAGGCAGATGGTTGGGGTCCCGGGGTCTCTCACCCCTCGGAAACTTCAACTTTCTCCAGCCTTGAGTTTGTTTTTCATGTGAGACTATTGCTGTGTACTTCCACTCCATTCAGATTTCATTCCTGTCTACCTCCCCACCCCAGAGTCCAGCAAATACATTGCTTAAAGTCACTGATGTCCAATGCTCTGTTGCTTCTCTGTCTTGCAGCTGTCTCCAACCTTGACATCGAGAGTAAGCTGAGCGTGTATTACCGTGCACCCTGGCACCAGCAGCGAAACATCTTTCTTCCAGCCACAAGGCCACCCTGTGTGGAAGAGCTGCATCGCCATGCCCGCCAAAGCCTGCAAGCCTTGCGCAGAGGTAACTGACCCCAGGCTTAGGGTTTTTCTGGGAGAGACTTGGAGATTGTTTCCTCCAGGGAATCTATCGTTTGTCAGTCCCAACAACTTGCTTAATCATAGCATATATGTTGAATTGCTCCCTTTTCTACACTGAATGAAATCCATGTGTAATATAACCTATTTATACATGTTGGAAGTACCATTCCAGTCTAAATATGATAATAAAGAGAAATGAAACTTATTTATAATAATATATTTGAATATACAAATGCTCAGTCACAATTACATTAGAAGGAATCACATAAAGCAGCTAGATAGTTGTACACAGGAAAAAGAAATTTGGGGTCCTAGCACTTGTGGCTCATGCCTATAATCCTACCTACCTAGGAAGCTGAGATTGGGAAGATCACAGTTTGAGGTCAGCTGGGGCAGAAAAGTTCAACAAAGTCTCTAGAATAACCAGCATAAATCAGGGCTAGAGATATAACACAAGTGGTAGAACACCAGCCTAGAAAGTGTGAAGCCCTGCATTCAAAGCCCATTACAGCCAAAATAATCATCATACTAAACAGCAGAAAACAGAGCTGGAGGCAGAGCTCCTCTGCAAGAGAGGCTGCCTCACAAACACAAGGCACTGAATTCAAAGCCCAATGTTGTAAAAAAAAAAAAAAAGTAAATTTGCATGACGTAATTTAGACAATCAGAAGTCACTCCAAACAAACAACAACAACAAAAAAGCTGGGCACAAGCTGGTCGCCAGAGGCTCATGCCTGTAATCATAGCTACTCAGAAAGCTGAGATCTGAGGATCACAGTTCAAAGCCAGCCTGGGTAGGAAACTCCATCAGACTCTTATTTCCAATAAACCACTAGAAAACTGGAAGTGGTGCTGTGGCTCAAGCGGTAGCATAGGGAAAGCACTCAGGCCCAGAGTTCAAGTCCTACGACCAACACACACACACACACACACACACAAGCTGGGCACTGATGGCTCTCGCCATTCCAGAGGCTGAGATCTGAGGATCATGGTTCAAAGCCCACTCTGGACAGAAGTGAGACTCTTATTACCAATTAACCACTCAAAAAAAAAAAAACACAGAACAAAACAAACCAAAAAACCAGAAGTGGTGCTGTGGCTCAAGTGGTTAGAGGGCTAGTCTTGAGCACAAAGTGGCTCAGGAACAGCACCCAGAACCTGAGTTCAAGCCCCACAACCAACACACACACACACACACACACACATATGCACGAATGAAGGATCTCTGAGGATCAAGAGAACACAGCCATAAAAACTGGCACATTGTATATGTATTGTAAGTAGAATAATACTTTGGACTATAATTCAAAAGGATTTAAATTTGAATCAGGTATAGGTTCTAGGCTTTTTTTTCCTGAAAAAGATTTGAGTTCATTGTAGATAGTTACCCTGCTTGGCTCCCATCCAAAAATTCTGACCACCAGAGCAGCCCTAGGAAGGTTCTATTTCTGTTGAGCTGAGAACCTTTGAGCTGACCCAATGCCCACCTTCTACTGGGAGGCAAAGAGGTGGAGAAACTTGCTCAGGGTCCCAGACAGCAGGGTAGAGTCAATGCCAGGACCTGGATCTGAGCCTCTAAACTCCAGCCAGAGCTATTTTCTACCTTGCTATATACACTGTTCCATGGAAATCAATGATATTTATGTCTCTCTCTGTATTGAGAGAACCAACAATAGGCTGTCCAGGTAAAACACAGACTTTTTCTTCTACTGATTACTTTTGGATTCCTTGAGATCACTATAATTAGAACAAGATGAGAAATGAGCATCATCTTTTCAGAGTCCCCTAAATGGAGTAGCAGACGTTAGCATGCCAACTTTTTAGGGCCCTTAGATTCTTGCTATAGAGACAGATGGTGTCTACACATTCATTGTAGTTGTTCCAGATTCCTTATACTCTATTAAAGAATGGTTTTTATGAAAGATATTCCAACACAAATAAAATATTTTCATGCCATTACTGTGATGGAGATGAGAGAGAAATAAAATGATAATAAGTGTTATTTTTATCCTATTTCCTTCCACCTTTGTGTGTTTTCTGCCCTTTCCCCTATCCTCATCATTTTCTGCTTTTAATGAAACCTACTACTGGCCTTAAAGCAATTGTGCCCCAAAATCTTTTGGTTATCAGTGATAATACATGATTACACTTATAATGAAGATTGAGGATAGTTAACATTGGCTTCAAATTTACAGTTTGCATTAAAAAAATCCCTCAGCATGTAATTAATGTAAGCCATCCAGTGGAAATCTTTCCCCTCCTGCCATTCCAGCTTTGATTTGGCACCTTTCACCTACTATCTCATGATTCTTTATCCAGCCACTGACCACCATCTACCATAACCACTATGGGTGTGCCTTCCACTATTCATGCATGATTAAGGACATATTCTTTTGGTTAATGAAGTGTATAGCCCAGGTTGACTGGGAACTTGTGATCTTCCCACCTCAGCTTCACATGTGTTGGGATTACAGGTGTGAATCACCACACTCAGCTCTTATTCTAATCAAAGCACTTAGTATGAGTCCAACATGCAGTATTACTTCAATAACTGTTTGATCATTGAAGGCAAGTGAAGTAAGGAATCTGATCATTTTCACTAAATACTTTCTCCATTTTCATCATTAGTGAGTTTGAGTACCATCAGCCCCTGAAATGTAATTCTTTTTATCCCTTTATTATTATTAATCAGTCCTCCCTGATTGGACTTGTATAGAATCACCCAGATAATACTGAGCTGCTCATAAGCTATCACATGTCACTGCTTTCTCAAGTTTGGATTTAATGGCAGAACTGAAGAATAGCAAGAACTGATATCAATTTCTCTCTCCTTCCCCCTGAGTGGGGAGAGAGGGAGGTGGTGTCCCTTGGGGTTTCAATGGAAGACTATGGAGCTGCATTTGCCCTCCACAGACAGGCTTGTTTGGTCGTTGGCACAACAGCATATCTTGGGTGTAGTAGTAGTTTTAATAGCACTGCAGAGAGCCATAAACAGGAATTATAGACATCATACAATTAAAAACATGAAGTGTAGAATTAAAATTAGAAACTGACTCTTTTTTAACCTTGTCCAAGGAACAGATTAGCAGCATATTCATCAGTATAATCCACTTCTGCCATCTGGTGGTTGTAAGTAGTACTGTCCTCCTAGACAGAGGCTTAGCTCCACATGTCACCAAGGGCTTCTATTTGGACAGCTGGAATAGCCTGGCTTCCACCAGGAGGGGAGGGGGCATGATGAAGAACAGACAAGGGAAGCTGTGGGGCTGCAGGTCTCTGCTCATTTTGGACATGAGGCCATAAGAAGGGAGCTGGTAGATAGAGATTAAAACCTAGAAACTACCTGTCTTTGAGATCTAAATAGCAAAACTCTCCACAGACATCATACAAGAGCCTAGAATTCAAAGTGCAATAAAATATAGTTCTCTGCTCTCAAGGAATGCTTGGTGTGATGAGGGAAATCGACAAGTAAGCAGATATCTGGAGAATGAGATCTGAGGGCCAAAGTTCAAATCCAGCTAGCTGGTAGGAAAGTCCATGATACTCTTATCTCTAATTTACCACCAAAAAGCCAGAAGAAGAGCTGTGGCTCAAGTAGTAGAATGCTAGACTTGAGCAGAAAAAGCTAACAGACAATGTTCAGGCCCTGAGTTCAAGCCCTGGTACCAACACACACACACATACACACACATCTTTAATGCTCAGAGACAGTAATAACTTTCATTGATGCAATCTGTTATGCTCATAAAACCAGGAGAGATTAACACATGGCTATAAAGAGAAAATGGCATATTATATTTCTTTCCCTTTCAAGTTTCTGGCTGGGGTATAAGTTTCATTGGTCTATAAAGGAATAAGGATCAGAATTCAATTGCAGTTTCAGGCTCTAGTAGACCAATGTTTTCCCTTTCTCACCACAAGCAAAAAGTATTATTAGGGAATCATTAATCTAGCCTGCCTACTCTCAGCCTGAAGAAAGAGATATATTTAAGATAGTGTGGGAGACAAACAATTGAAAGGGAAATTTGGTCCATGCCTCTTTTCTTACTCCTCCCCTCTTTCCTCTTCTTCCTATCCAGCAATGTATTCTTCTCTGCTTAGTAAATTTAGCAATGTAAAAGTGTCACAGCCAGATGTCAAGTGGCTCATGTCTATAATCCTAGCTACACAGGAGGCTGGAATCTGAGGGATCATGGTTTAAAGCCATCCCAGATAGGAAGGACCATGAAACTCTTATCTACAATTAACTACCAAAAAAATGAGAAGTAGAGCTGTGGTTCAAGTAGTAGAGCACTAGCCATAAGCACAAAAGGTCAGGGACGGAGGCTAGACTCAGCGTTCAAGCCCCATAACTGGCATACAAAAAAGTGTTATCTTGTGCTGCTCATTCACAAAAGCCCCCTTATTGGCATCAGAGGTGGACACCTTACCAAGGAAGGTCTTTATTTCAGAATGCCATCTTGATAAATGTTGATTTTAGCAAAGACCACCTATGTGGCACTGAGGATTTTTCTCTGGTTACAAGGAGAGCCTAAAGAATCACAAGCAAAGAAAGGTAAGGAACACTATGGCATTTCCTGAACACAGGCTCTAAGTGTGTGGTGCTGAGGGCGAAATTGGGCAGGGAGAATCCCAGATAGCTGAATCACACATGCATAGAAATCAAAAAGCTCAAGAGTGCTCACCTCAGGTCCTAGTTTAGAGAGCAGCACAGTGTGTGTGTGTGTGTGTGTGTGTGTGTGTGTGTGTGTGTGTGTGTGTGTGAGTGTGTGTGTGTGTGCGTATGCCAGTACTAGGGCTTGAACTCAGGGCTGAGGCACTGTCCCTCAACTTTCATTGCTCAAGGCTGGCACTCTAGCACTTGAACTACATTTCTACTTGTCTTTTTTGTTGGCTAATTGGAGAGAAGAGTCTCACAGACTTTTCTACCATGATTGGCTTCAATCCTCCATCCTCAGATCTCAGCCTCCTATGTAGCTAAGATTACAGTAAGGAGCCACCAGTGCCTGTCTAGGAGCAGCACACTGAATGATACAAAGAATGGGGAGGCCATGGCTGGGAAGGTGGCTCAGTGGTAGAGCGCTTGCCTTGCATACCTGAGGCCCTGGGTTTGATTCCTCAGCACCACATAATCAAAAAGAAAATCGCCAGAAGTGGTGCTGTCGCTCAAGTGGTAGAACGCTAGCTTTGAGCTGAAGAGCTGAGGGACAGCGCCCAGGCCCAGAGTTCAGGCCCCACAACTAGAACCCCCCCCAAAAAAAAAGAATTGGGAGGCCAGTTAAAACAAGCAATAGGACCCAGAGAAGCATTCAGACATGAAGATACCCAATAATGCTACCATTATCACTAGAGAAGAAATGTAAAATATGGAATGCATTTTGATCTTTTAGAAACCTAGCCATTAGAGAAAACATTCATTTGTTCTTGCAGTTACTCAACATTTTTTTGAAAATCTATCATGCCACAGGTTCTTCAGGCCCTATGCTCAAAAGATGAATACACCTCTGTCCTTCCGAAGCCAATTTATAGTGGAAGAGGCTGGCAGATTGATGGTATTGTTATAAATACAAATATCCAAATGGATATGATAGGCCTTTTGAAAAGGGCATTTGGTGTCCCTTAAGAAGACTGGCATAGTTAGCTCCGTATCCTAGCATAGATTGGAAAAAAGCAGTGTTTTATATGTTGCCAAATATTCTATACTATCAATATGCAAAGAATACGACAAAACCTAATTAAAAACCAATTTTGTTAAGCCCAAGAAGTCTTGTTTTAATGAGTGAGGTTTATTAGAACCTCAAGAGCAAAGCATCAAAGCCACATGTGTACCACTGATAACTCCAAGGCCACTCACCCTGCGTGCCTGCCTCTGCTTGGGTATCTGTAAAGAAGTGAGGTTGTTGGTGTGGGGTTCATGCGAGCTTTAGCAAAATATCTCTGGCATGTGGCAAAGTGCTCAATAAACATCGCATGTAATGTACTATTGTATGTGCGCTGGATAATGCTGTTTTTAAATAATCAAAGGGCATAATGAAAGCTGGCTGTACTAATTTGTATTTTGGTTGTAATTGGGGTTCTAGAAACTTCATATTCTGGGCATGTGTGTAAAATGGACTCTGGCAGATGGCCGAGTTTAACATAGGCAAAGTGTGTTTGAGTTCTCAGAGACACCAGGAAGCTAAATTGTGGTGTTGATTCTCATTGATTCATGTGTCCTCATGTATTGCTGGAGGTCAAACCCCAAGCCTTGTCTCCATGTAGGCTCACTTCTTTCCACACATAGATAATTCCTAGCTTTCCCTAGAAATAGCTTTCTCCCTGAATTAGAAAAAAAATAGTCGTTGGGGTTACCTTTGAGTGCCCAGGACATGTTTGTTTGAGTGTCAGGACATAGACCTGTAATCATGTGCTGGTCCCTGAGATTTCTGGAAAAAAACAAAGTACAGTATTATAAATAAAAGCACCAACGTATGACACTTGCCAATTTTCTGTGACATAAATATTTCCACTATGACCTGTTTTTAGGTACTGACAGTTGAAAAACTGGCTCCTGCGAGTTTCTGAGTGTAACCTCCAGCTCAGGCCACTGCACTGCATCTGCATGCCCACCTCAGCGTCCACGCGTCGGGGAGGGGGAGGCTTCTAGTATATTCTCAACTTCTAAAATTTTAGTTTTGTTTTGCTTTTTTTGGTAGTACGGGGCTTTGAACTCAGGTAGCCTCTTTGAGGCCTGAGCCCAACCCGCCCCTCGCTAGCTCTTTTGTTTCAGGTATTTTTCTAGAAGGTCTCATGATTTCTTTTGATTTTTTTTTTCCCAGCAGACCTCAGGACGCGATCCTGAGCTCACTAGGCATGCGTCACGTCACCACGCCCACTTCCTGAAAGGAAGCACATGGAGGGAGCCATCTTGTACTAATATTATGAGCCGGACTCCAAAATGGCTAACTCCATAACAATAGCAAGTAAATGTTCCGTTAGGAACTGTTTGGAAAGCCTAATATGGCGAATAAATTAGCTAGTTATTAAAGCCTACTTTTTTCCTTTTTTTTGCCGGTCCTGGGGCTTTGAACTCTGGACCTGAGGGCTATCCCTGAGCCTCTCTGTGTTCTCTAATGGACACTCTACCGCTTGAGCCACAGCACCACTTCCAACCTTTTCTGAGTGGTTTATTGGACATAAGAGTCTCATGGACTTTCCTGCTTGGGCTGGCTTTGAACCGAGTTCCTCAGATCTCAGCCTTCTGAGTAGCTGGGATGACAGGCGTGAGCCACCCAGGCCTGGCAAGCCTACTTTTTGAGAAAAACAAAATAGCGTTTTGCGTATACTCTCAAGGGAGGGGGAAGAAAAGTTGCAAATATAAAACGTATTTTACTAGGATTTTTTTTTCTGTCTCCTCAGAACACCGGAGCCGCAGCGATCGCCGGGAGCAGAGATCCGCTGCTCCCCTATCCATAGCTGCTCCGCCATTGCCAGCCTACCCTCCTGCTCACAGCCAGAGGAGGCGTGAGGTGAAGGACCGCCACTTCCTAACGGTAAGCAGGGCAGCCAAGGGCACCCCTAAACTTGTCGCAATTAACATGAGTTTCTGATGGGACTCAATCTCAGTTTCCCTTTCTCCATGAAAGCTGGGCAGACTGCAAATTGCAAACATTTGGAAACAAATTGATTTTCCCTCTTTCATTCCCAAAAGGAATATTTTTTTAATACATGTATTGGCGTGGATTTTTAATAAACTGCTTGCACACTGCAGTAAAATGATAATAAATTTTCTAAAATCAGAAAACAAACCTATTGCAAATCCTAGTTCTCTTCAGAAGTGAAAAATTTAGGCTGCCACTGTCTTTGGCCTTGGTGCCAAAGATTACATGAGATACAACATAGTAACTGACATAGAAGAAGATGTCTGCAAAAATTAACCCCAAGCAGCACTGCTTTTATTAGTGAGCAGATGGTATGGCTGCCTCATTGGCATACTCTGAGAAAGAACTGAAGAGCAATCACATCATCTCTGCACACTTTCCCATTTATAAGGAAGCTGTCTCCCTAAAGGTGACTTATTACCTCAGTGACATGACCAGTGCACTGGCGATTTTCAGCCTTGTCCATGTGGATTCCACTTCAATTCAGCATGAGCCCTCAATATGGATCACAGATGATAAAATGGACCCAGTTCAGAACACCCACAAACATAATCAGCAGCCACAAATAAAAAATGTCACATTAGGTATGCCTTCTGGGGCCTCAGTGGGAACAAGTGAACATTTGTACCTCTGAGTAGGATGTCACTGAAATCCAGGACTATGACATCATTGATTTCATTTTGTGACGAGAGCATCCCAGACTTCCTGCTTGCAGGTCTGTCATCAGTGTGGGTATAAGGTTTATTATTATTAATGATAGTAGTAATGTAATTATTTAAGTTGTTGTACAAAGGAGTTTCAGTTGCACATGTTAGTTTGTGAGTACAATGCATCTTGATCAATGGCATCCCTTTCACTATTATCCCACCTATCCCCTCAATTTACCTGCTTCCACTTTCACATATGTACATCAAATATTATAACTGCATCCACTCACCTTCCCTCTCTCCATTCATCTTCCCCCCTGCCATTGACCTCACTCCCCCTATTGTTGTTTGACATGAAATGTGTATCTATGACTGTAAACCCTGAACCTTATGCCTCGTACCATATGCAAAACAGTCAGGTCTCATGATGTCAAAGATCCGAATGAAAGCACCCTTCACCTAAAAGAATGTTCATAAAATCATATCCAGATAAGGCCTGAGTGATGGTAGGTGATGGCTAGATATTTTTTCCCTATTTGCATCTGGACAGTGGACACTGTGTCTTTCAGTGCTCAGTAAGGGCACACTGAGTACCACAATGCACTGTCACATTGCTGTGACATAGCCTGAGGATAGGGGCGGGAGGGTAGTGCCTCTTAGGGTTTTCTAGTTCCCCAGCCAGAGCAGTGACTCATGACATAGCCTGAGGAGAGGGGGGGCAGGGCCTCTTCGAGTTTTCTAGTTTCTCAGCCACAGCAGTGATTCATGCTAGTGATTTGTTATGGAGGCGCCCTAGTTGACAGAAATTCTTATTTAACTCAAATCTGCTTGCTGATGCACTGGCTTTTAATGAGGCATTTTCTGCATAAAAATGGCAAAAAGTCTTCATCCCATTCATTATGATATGTTTTATGTCTCATTAGGTTGGTTTTGTTGGGAGGTAGGTGAAAGAAAAAATATTGACCTTATGGGAATTATATGAAAGATGACCCTTTCTCATAATCTCCCTAATCTTTAATAATGTCTATATACCAAAGTAAGACTAGAGGAAAAGGCTCAAAATAATTAATAGTAATAAGAATGCTTCATTTATCCAACAGAATCAATATGAGAGTAGATTATACTTAACTTAAACTTGAGAAAGTTCTCCCATCTCAAATGATAAAACAGCATTTCTAAGTAATTGGGGGAATTTTTGTTTCACTTGTTCCGTCAAGTTCACTAATAGAATTAATCCATATTTTTCCTCCTCTTAAAGACAATTGTAATGAGATATAGTTTCCCACAACTCTGTATGCTACTATATTATACTTTGGTCATTACTGGCCTAGTCTCTAAAGCCAAACTGCCTAGCTTTGAATGCTAGTTCCTAGCTGTGCAACCCTGACAAGTTTATCGTGTCAGTGTCTCCAGAGTAAGAATAGATAGTAGCTCATTTGTCTGGCACTATATGTTAGAATATAGCACTACTTGATCTACAATAAGTACTTAAATATTAGACCCTATGATGATGATAGTAATGATCTACCATTCAAGTTCCTGAGATATCTGTAATTCAGTGATAATAGTAGATGTAACTGAGTTTAAATCCTATCTTTGCAATGTTTTGGTCATCTGGTTCAGAACAAAGTTAATATATTTTTTGAATCTCAGTTTCTTTGTCTATAAAATGAGGATAATAATTTCAACTTTACAAGGTGGTTAAGAAGACTTAATCACACCTGTGATCCTAGATACTCAGGGGGCTAAGATCTGAAGATTACAGTTTGAAGCCGGCTTCAACAGAAAAGTTCAGAAATTCTGTCTCCAATTAACCAGCAAAAGGCTAGATGGGAGTCATGGCTCAAGTGGTAGAGTGCCAGCAGTGAACGAAACAGCCAATATGAGACCCTGAGTTCTAGCCCCATGCCAACATACATACACACACAATATTAGGATATCATAAAATAAGCTTAAATCATGTGTGTGAAAGCACCACAGTACCTAAAATACCCAAGAATATGAATTTATATTTACGATTACTTGTGATAAAACTATTACTGTCAACTGAAAAGCCTATACATGTTGTCACTGACAGGAAAGAAGGAAGTATAAGTTGCTATACCTTTTCCAGAAAGCAAAACTTTAAATATTCCTGCTTTATTCCAGCAATTCTGCAGCTAGAATTTTATTCCAAGATGGTAATCATTGTACTGAAAGATTTGTTCAGTAGTATGTTTATCAAAACATTTTTAATAAGAAAACATACATATATGCTAAGTATTCCATCCTGCATATCCTATATACAGAGTGGAATATTATATCAAAAAATAGTATTATAAGCCAGGTGCCAATGGCTCGTGCCTGTAATCCTAGCTACTCAGAAGGCTGAGATCTGAGGATTGCAGTTGGAAGCCCAGGCAGGAAAGAGTGAGACTCTTATCTCCAATAAACTACTCAGAAAAAGACGGAACTGGTGCCTTGGCTCAAGTGGTAGAGCACTAGCCTTGAGCACAAAGAGGCTCAGGGACAGCGCCCAGGCCCTGCCTGAGCTCAAGCCCCAGGACCAGCAAAAAAATATAGTATTATAGAATAATTTTTAACAATATTAAGGTTTGAACTCAGGGCCTCATGCCTGCTAGGTAAGTGTTCTACAACATGAGCCAGGCTCCCAGCCCAATTTGCTTTCCTTATTATTTTTTGTGCCTATCTTAAGGCTTGAATTTAGGGCCTAAGCACTGTCCCTGAGCTTTTTTTCCCTTGAAGCTAACACTCTCCCACTTGAACCATAGCTTCACTTCTAGCTTTTTGGTGGTTAATTGGAGATAAAAAATGTCCCACACTTTCCTTCCCTGGCTGGCTTTCAACCGTGGTCATCAGATCTTAGCCTTCTGAATAGCCAGAATTACAAGTGTGAGCCACCAGGGCCTGGCTACTTTAGTTATTTTTCAGATAGGATCTCACATTTTCTTCTCCTGGGCTGGCTCGGGACCACAATACTCCTACCTATGCCTCCTGTATAACTGGGATTACAGATACACACCACCATATCCAATTTATTTGGTGAGATGAAGATTTCACTAACTTTTTCCTAGGGCCAACCTCAAACCATAATTCTCCTCATCTCTACTTCCTGAGTGGTTGGGATTATAGGCATGAGCCCCTTATCCAGCCCAAAGAAAGTTTGATGACATGAAAAATAATTATTTCATCATCAGGGATTTTTCAAAAGCTTTTGAAATTTTATCTACTGTAGTATCAAAAAACATCTGTGTGTACACCCCCTCCACACCCTCCCATAAATAAATATCATCAACTAGAATGTGAGAACTGTAAGTGAAAACAAACAGTAACAACTTCGCCTAACAATATTACAAATGAATATCATAACCACCCTGAGGGAACGGTAGGAAAATAGCTGATGTTAATAAGTTTGGAAAACAGTAGTTGTTTTGTTTTATTTTGAACCAAACCATAAATATTTATTGGTGGATCCATAATATAATTTTAATGAAACAATAGGGACAACATTTGATTAAAATGATTTACTATAGAGACCAAAGGTAGAAAGCCCTAGGAACTTTAATTATGCAAGTCAAAGTGCCTCGGGCAGCTAACAGATGATTATCAGACAATTCTTCCAAAATATATTTTTCCCTTTATTGCATCACTTTATCACAAAGTCTAAATAGTAGTTTAAAACATCCCTCATTCATTTCAGTCACATTGCCTGGCCATCCCCAATTCCTGCCACATTTCCCACCTTTTTTGCAGTGGATTCTTTGTAGTTGTGTGAGATTTTGTTTGTTTTTGGCAAGGGGTGGGGTGGGGGAGGGTGGATTCTTTTTGTGGTTTGAACTCCAGGCTTTATACTTGTTGAGCAGGCACTTCTATCACCCAAGCCATACTTCCAGTCCCAGTCGCCTGCGTTAGTATCCTTTATCCATTCTCTTCTTTAAGAATTATGTATACATTGAGCCAGATGCTGATGACTCATGTCTGTAAACCTAGCTCCTCAGGAAGCTGAGATCTGAGAATTACAGTTCAGTCAGCCTGGGCAGAAAAGTCCATGAGATTCTTTTTCCCAATTAACCACCAAAAACCTGAACGTGGAGTGTGGATCAAGTAATAGAGTGCCAACATTGAGCAAAAAAGAGAAGAGAGGCTCTGAGTTCAAGTACCATTATGGACACACACACACACACACAGTTGCACATACAAAAGAAGCAAGCAAGCAAGCAAATGATGAGTCAGTGAAAGACTGCC